TTACTACTAGGAGCAAGGACACTACTAGGGGCTCCTGGCCTTACTACCAGAAACAGGACTTTGAAGGACCTCACCAGAATCCGCCCTCGAAGTTTGGGGAGTGTTCCTCTGTGGTTGGAGCGACTGGCCACGACTGCCTGAAGTGACACTTGCCAAACGATGCAGTTTTCTATCCAGCATGGTTACATGAAGAGCTTGATTTCATGAAGGCATTCCAAAGTCCTGGGTGACAATTAAAGGTTTCTTACCATTTCCATCCATGTCCCAGTTGGACATGTGATGTTCGTGTATATCCCATGTTACCCCTATGTGATCTCATCTCCCCAGTCAATTCAACGCTTATTCCCACCGCAGGTCCCGCATCACGCTGCAGCGTTCTCACCGAGCCGCTGCGGCTTTCTCCGTGTCATGCCGCAGCTGAGCGGTGGCATTGGCCTCGGAGAGGTCGAGTGCCGGCAGAAGCGTGTGGCAGCCAGGCCGAGAAGCCCCTGTCCGGCCTCTCCACTGCCTCAAGTCTGCACCAAAACACAGCGACACCATGTGCGAATCAATTAATTACTCCCAACCGAGGCGCAGCGAAGGTATAGGCTTCGCAAGGGAACATGTGAAACCACTCCGCTGAGTGACTCTGTAATGCACAGGGGGGTTCTGATTCGAATACCTGTTCGACATCCCGCGGAACGAGCTCGGAACTGATTCTTCAATTTTCCTATCATCGGCGAGGGAAGCCGTTGTTACATATGTCGCAGCATCAGGCATCTTGCCCAATCTCTCCCCACTTCCATCCATGCACATGTTCCTAACTGTGGTTTAGAAAATCCAAGGTCTGTGTATAGATCCGAGCCAGAGCTGTTCAAAGCACTTTGCCCGCTGCTTACATTCAGTCCCTTTGAAATATATGAAGTATTCTTCTGTTTTCCCGTTCTGCGAACCTCATCCCACCACTTCTGTTTTCCCCTTCTCTTGCCGAAATCGTGGCACGACTGGTGAGGCACCCCACGGGAGGGAAGAGTTGAGGCCAAGCCTCCGTCTCCTGGCGCCCGACATGTCCAACGCCCCGGGAACCCGAGGCGTTTTCGTTTTGCGGATCCGCTTCCGGTGGAGACCGGTGGGCCTTTCGTGCACGTCATAGCTTGGTTCTGGGAGGAGTTGAGGGAGTTGATCAGACGTGATTCCCCGAGCATCTCTGTGAAACATCCAGTCTGCGGCAGGATCTGTTTCCTCGGATTTCTTTGGGATCCTTTTTGGGGTGGGTACGCTGGTGGACACATCCCAACGATTGGACAAGTCTTAAACGCCACGACCCAAACACGAAGACTCTACTGCGGCTGTTGAGACTGTAGCCTCCCCAAAAGCTGCCATTCCCAGTCCTCTACAATTAAGACATCATAAGATCCTTAGGTTGCCGACGTTGCTCTTCCTTTTTGCAGGTTGGATATGGTTTTTGATATTGGGATCTGGTCGAAATGTCTTCTTCCAAAAATGGCTGAAAGCCGTGATCAGATGGGGGCCCGCTACATATATTCTTTACTTTGGCACACACAGCTAGTTAATGAAGGAAAAATGGACCAAACAAGTACTGGCACCAAGTTGTAAGAGGCGTCACTAGCGCTGCACCGTTTTCAGCTGATCTCCGAGTTTCAAGCCATGCTTGAAACAAAAGACTTGTTGGAAGTCAGCTTTGGAAGGGTCCATGCTGGCATCTGGCACTGTTTGCTAGCGCGGATCTAGCGCAGTGCTAGCGCGCGGCTACCGCATTTTTTCCAGCTGCTTTTCAAAACCTGACGACCTTCTGAACATGTTCTAAGTCAAACACTAGCGCAAGTCTACCGCAAACCTAGCGCCCAGCTGCAGAATAGGTGTGTTTAGCTGGGGGCCCCCTACATAATCTAATTGAACAAACAACATCATAAGCTACTTTCGACCCCTTTATCTTGCTTATAGACTTTTGGCCGGACTCCATATACTTTGAGTCTGAGTATTATGGTTCCATCTCAAATTCACCGTACACATTTCTGTAGTTTGAATACACACTTCAACACATACAGGTCTAGTCTAGAAGCTATCAACAACTCCAAAGATCTTGACCAATTCAGCCCACAACAACAAATCAGGACACAATCTTGCACCAGCCACAAGTCAACCCATGGATCATATGTATAGAAACGACATAAACAACGATCCTTCCACCTTGCCTGTTGGGATGTCATCCTGTCAATCTCCTTTTCCCAACCAGCTCCGATCGAATCAACTCGCGCACCGAACCTTCGGCAGCCGCTCGTGGTCATCGAGATCATCGGGTCTCATCTCCTGCAGGTGATCCATCGGGTGGGTCGCGGATGGATCGGCTGGATGCATCAAGGCCGCTACTAACTAGGGGCTCCTGGCCTTACTACGAACGGAGCAAGGATGCTACTAGTAACAAAGGGCATCGCTACGAACGGAGCAAGGGCGATAGGGGATGGATCGGGATGGATGCATCAAGGATCGGCTGAAAAAAAAGTGGCGAGACAGACCTCGCAAGATCCAGAGCTCGCAGAACCAAAGTAGTCATCCAGGCATATTGATTATTGTAACATACAAAAACACAAATACTGTACACACACACCACCCACACATACACATATTCATACACACATGTCAAAACATAGTAAATTAATGTGAAGCTGTGAAGCATCTTGAGCATAACCCAACTTGTGGTCATGACCATTTCTATAGATGTTTATTCTTGCCTAGGATATGACTGAGGGTATCCCTGTTATGCACTCCTTACCTTCTCTTCTCAGAAGGTTTGGAGTGCAAATCAGCCTGAAGTAGAGAAGACTTACACTGAAGAATCAACCGGTAACCAGCTTGGCCTCCCGGAGTTCATTGGAAACAGGGGAGCTGAGTTGTGATACCTCTTCTGAAGAAGGCTTCTCACTTCACCCAGCTTGGACTTGCTGCCTTGCTTAGCCTCCGGTGTCCAGCCAAACCGAGCAACGCAAGCTTCGGTCTTTGTCACGTCACGCGTGAAAAATCAACATCGTGGCTTCAATCTTGCGCCTTCTGATACGAAAAGAAGGACAAAAGCAGCGCGACAAGGCAGGTCACGAAATGTCGTACAATGTAGTACAATATCCTTCTATACAAGAAATAAGAAATGGATGTAATGGTTTTCCTCAAATCTATTTTCTGGATGGTGTCCGTTGGCGACAACCCTTTCAAATGAACCCCTCGCTTAATTGTTCTTCATTCGACATGTCAAATGACCCACAAATAGGTGCCCCAAACCAAAATTATCCAAAATTCAAGAATTGCAGGAGACATGCAATGCTTCAACCAAGGTCTTGTTTTATCCACAAGACTCGAACATGACCAGCTCAAGACGGACACCAAATCCTTGGGAACTGGGGGAGGCAACGCGATGTCGAAGGGTCGCTCGATTTCGAGAGTTGACCACCACTGCGGCGTCCATGCTGTACATCGAACACGATTAAGATGTTGATGCTGATCTCTTTGAACAACTGCCTGGGACGTTTCCAACTGTAGCGGGATCTGAAAGAAAACCCTGCCGAAAGCCTGTTGTGTGGAGAACAACTCTGCCGAATCCTTCTTCTTCTTCGCATCTTGAAGCTTCACCCATTTCTCTGCGTTCTGCGTTCTTTTTGGGACGAAGATACCGTTCTGACTGAACTCTTACCACCATGATACCTCCATGATACCACCAACAATGACCGAGTTCAGGCCTCATGCTGGCATCTAAAGGCAGGAAGCCGAACGTTCACTCTCTAGAGAGTCCGGCTCTAGCCTCGCCCTGCCTTTGTGTGGAATGAAAGAGATCTTCAAAACCTAGATCTCAAAATTTGGAGGCTTTAAAAGTATAGCTCAGAAGTCACCACGACTTCTTTGCCTTGGCTCAAGCCTTGGCTCAATGGCCCGCCTCTTAGACATGCTGCGCTCGCTGCTTCGGATCGGGAGACCGTTCACAGGTGAAAGCCGTCCGACGTGCGAAAGCGAACTGGTCCCAAGAAACAGCTCCAACACCGAGAAGGATCGAGCGACTCAGGGGTCACCGGTGGTTTTGGAAAAGCTCGATCCTTCTGAACATCCTTCTTCGATCCTTCGTATACCCGAAAGATGGGAACCGGGTAGCCCAGATCTGTCAGGCTATTCGCCCGCCATGCTGGCCGCCATAGGTTGAAAGAGTGCCGAATATCGCTCTTCCTAGCATCTTCAATTTTCGTTGAACATCAAAAACTATTCAATCTTTTGTCACCGCCTGTTCATCGTAGGGAAACCAATCCGCAGAGTCGCAGAAAAGCTAAAGGTTCACCACTGACTTGGCAGGAGTGTGGAAACTCATCAAACCTCTCATCATTCGGACGTTCAGGTCAGCCTTGGGGGTCGCAAGCTAAATAAGCCATGTGAACATTGTAATGCAGTATACATATTGCAATATATATAATTGATCTCCAACTGACCCGTTTTCTTGATCCAAGGCCCAACAAGTGCTCCCCACAGGTCTTGGAACATCCTACCAAAACAGCGACGTCACCGGTCAGGTGCGCAGTCCGTATGATTCGCTTCAACAGATTCGCCCAGGTTGGTGCGACCCCAACTGGGCCGCTTTCCCGCGGCTCACCCGGTGTTCTGACACCCGCGGCTCACTCGGTGATCGAGGACGCGTCCCCTCTTCTTTTTCGAACGCCGTCGGGTCACGAAAAACAAAAAAAACTCTTGAAACTTGAAAGACGAGAACAAACAAATTGATTGATCCATTCTACGACTGTAGCTGCAGCTCGGTAAGGTGAGCTAAAATTCTTTCAGGACCAACAGCTGGAGTTTTCAACTTTCGAGCTGGCCAGCTAGAAGGGTCCATGACGAGCCCCCTTTCCGCGACCGATCGAGAGATTGGTTGCGACCGTTCAAACATCGTGACACGAACAATCGTGACAAACATCTGGAATTCGTGTTCAGGCGTCCATTCATGGTGAAATGGGATTGATTTAAATCCCTACGGTTCACAACTATGCCCAAGGCAAAATCGGAGTGGGGCTAGCGTATACTGCGTAAAATGGCCGGCGGCGATCAATTCTCAGCATGGAAAAACAACAACACCGCCTTTTTGGATCTTTTTAAAAATTTAGGGGTTCATTTGGACATGCGTGGCACACATGTAAGTAGTTCCAAATGGGACTCGTGTCGAATCGTTGAACTGGGCAAGTGAGTTGGGCAAGGAGGTCACGGATCACCCGAACTAGCCCTATTCATGATTATTCATGTCCAGATGGTTGGTCTGCCTTTCCTTCATTTAAACAAAGCCACGCTAGTTGGTGCCTGGAGCTCGGGCGTTTTCAAACTTCAGGATTGGGAGCCGGATGTTTCCTCACGACCATTTCCGAGTGCAGAACATTCCAAGCAGCCTCTGCAGCACCTGCATGTTTGGATTAACTGCATCGAGGGGATTGAGATCAGCTCACGACGGAAGGCTTAGGACAAAGTCTAATAGAGGATTCGAGGATTCAACAAACACTGGGTGATGTTTAAAACTGAAGATTATTAATTATATTGCGATCTTTCCACAGGGTTCCACTGGAGTGTGGACCTTAGTTCAGCACTGTGCTGAATCGATCCCCGAATCTTTCGACCTATCTTTTGTGCTTTCTCCAGTGATGTCTGTGGCTGATGGTTGAAGCACTCTGGCCCTGCGATTTAAAGTTTCTGCAGGGCAGGGCTCATGCAACTCCTTCCCCGAACATCAGTCCCCCCCGAACCCCTTTTCTTGGACTGGGGGGGGAGGCCGGTGTTCCTTGAATCGACAAGAAGCCTATGGCTGCTCGTAAGAATGACGCCTGACATGACTGTAGGCGACCACTGCCATTCCCGTACCGGACAGCTGTGGGGAAAATCTAGCCATTTTGAGCAAGAACACAGGTCCGCGAGAAAACCAGCAAGGTCCGTGAAAGGAAGTTTGAGGGGTGATCACTTGTACGCTTTAGCATGTCGATTCGGGGATATCGCCAGTGGCCACTTTGTAGTACAAATACCATACAACGACTAGGTTCTGGGAGCTAAGGGCTCAGTGCAAATCTCTTCGTTGCAAGGGCTCAGTGGCGAGATTCGATCAGTGATTTTGTGCCGTGGCTCTGTGGAATTGATTCGGCCGGAATAGGGAGATATTTCTACAGTATGTATATCTGGTGTGTCGCTGGAAAGCAGCATGATTGGTAGTTTTAATCATGCTTGGTCTCGCTTTGTTGCATGGAGCATGTGGGATTGGTGGTGTCGTTTTCACCTTTGCTTCCTTTGTTATGGCTTCCTGGAAGAATCTCTTTGGCCATTGGCTGCCAATAGCATAACATGAGGAAGTTGGCCTTCGTAGACTCTAGTCATGACATACCCTGACCAATTTGCCCCACTTGAAGGTCTTTCTTGGCCCAAGATCCGCGAGGGTATGTGAGGGTTGGATCAGCTCTTTGGCGGGGTATCGCTCTCAAAACATCTGCAGTCAGGGGCCAAAGGTATGAAACCAAACCACAAAAGTTCACGAATGACCCCTTTTTTTGAGCCGCCTCAGATTGTGCTGATGTTGAAAGGGGGTTCAGTGTTCATACTCACAATTCTTGGTGGACCCGCTGCATATGTCGTAAACTATGTCATAAGACTTACCTGCCCTGAAGCCCTGGTAACCAACGATGCCCTTGGCTTCAAAGTGGTCAATTGAGTAGGAAGCATGTGATACCCGCCGTAGGAAGCATGTGATACCTGCCCTCTCTTGCTCCGTTCATACGTTACATTCTGCTCTTTTGTGTGAAATCCATGAGCCCCTAGTAGCGTCCTTGCTCCTAGTAGTAAGGCCAGGAGCCCCTAGTAGGTTCTTGCTACTATATAGTAGCGATGCCAGGAGCCCCTAGTAGCGTCCTTGCTCCTACATTACTGTATACTACATGAGTTCTTGCGACCGTGCTCGTGCCATGTGGACAGCGCGATGTCTGACATACAGTCAGCTTTGCAAAAACCGTCTGTGAGTGCAGTCAATCAGGACGAAATCCAAATAAACAAAGGAACAAGCTGATAGCGTTCGTCTCAGCTTCGATTGTCGATCTGCTTTCACCACGCCTCTACTATTGCATCTCTCAAAGCTCAACCAGAATCCTCTCTAAACTCCACGAGAGAATTGTAAAGCACGCAGCCACCAAAATGTAGATAAATTTGGTCACCTGAGTGAGCAACGGAGGTGTGTGAAAAAACCTCTACTGGCAGTAGCAACAGCATCTTATCATGTGACACATGTGTCATGCGACTCCTTGACTCCTTTCACTGAACACATGCGCAGATGTCCAAGAAACTGAACAGCGCCGGGTAAACTCCTTCCTTAAAACAAGAGGACCACAGAACGTCCTGGGCCTTTCGTGGTTCCTCCAAACAAGAAGGAACCTCACTCTGTGTTGACTGAATGACGCATGCGGATGATCTTCCCACACAAAGGTTCCTCTTCAGATTCCATCTTTTCAGGGCGACTGAATTGCTTTCGTTTCCCGTCTTTTCTTTCCCCGAACCTTTCCATGGGTGTTTAGATGTGTAGAATATTCCTATGGGTCCGCATACCATCTGAGAAGGTAATTGCAAAGGCCTTTTATGATCTTTTATGTAGGCTTTGAGGGTCCAAATACTTCCTGAGAAGGTATTTGGATCCCTAAGGATGATATAGCTACTGTATATATATATATAAATGTAATCGTTTCGTTCCTTTCACTTCCCTCCCATTCCCATTCCCTGCTATGGCTTGGCTCGCTGGGTCCATCCTTCCGCGGCACCGCCGCCGGCGAGACCCGCATGTCGTTCACGAAGAAGCCCAGTTGGCAGCGTGACATAAAGTTCAACAGGTCCTCTGAAGCTTCACCCAGTTGGACGGTAGCAAGAAGCTACGATTAAGTCACAAGGGCATCGCTACGAGTAAGTCACAAGGGCATGACATTCTTGCTACGAGGAAGTCACAAGATCTTGGCCTTTCGGGACCCAGGGCTTGGTGGACGGTGTGGACCTGGAGGATCTGCGATCGGATTGGTGGCTGATCGCTGCCGCTGTGAGCGGGCTGCTTCTGGACCTTCGATTCCTCAAACCAGGGCCGCACGAAAGGGTGTGAACGGGGGATCCTCAAATACTGGACGTGATGAGGTGAAATCGTGAATAGTACATTGGTATTCATATATATATATATATGTATTCATATTTGTCACAGGGGCCCATACTGTGAATGGGTGGCTTGGTTGTTGTCATTCCATTTCCCAGTGGGCCGCTGTTTGGAGTATGTTTTGTGGAGAAGGAAGCTCAAGCATCCAAGTGTGCCTTTAGCCAAATGTACCAAGTGAAGGGAAGACGCTTAAGAATTGGAGTCAACTGAAGGTGGTCAATCTGTGATTCCACATTTCTCGGAGCGATCCGATCGACCGACTTCGCCCCGCTTTGGTTCGCACCGGTCAGCTCGGTGCGAGCGAGCCAGCGAGCCCTGCCGATGCTCCTGTGCTCGTTCGTTGTCCCAATCCAGGACCAGCATGGAGTTCGCCACTTGCGGCGCTTGCTCACACTGCCTCGGAGGCGGACCGTCATCCGGTCCAGCACCGGAACGTACCGGCGGTCCGGTCCGTCCGATACAGGGAGACATCTTTCTGGGATTGCTACGTAGTGGTCTTCCCGAACCTTTCGGCAAAGGAACTTGGGTGGCAAGCCCCTTTTGCAGGAGTGTATGAGACTGATGCAAATCAGTGAACCAGGATATGCAGGATGCACCCTGAATTTTGTTCGGATTAAACCAGGAAACCACAGTGCTAAGGAACCATCTGTAACGAAATGGTTCAAAGTTTGCAAGAGCATGTTCCTCTGATCGAACTCGCTCGCAGTCTCATCCCACTATACTTGGAAAACTGGTCACCTGACAAACAGCAAACAGCAGCTGCCTGAGCGCGGGCGAAAAGAGAAAGTATTGCCGTACCTGCTCAAAGTCGTCCGCCCGTGGGGAGCTTCGATGGTCGCATTTAGGCGCTTCCTTCGGGTGTTAAGACCGACCAGTGCTGGCCCGGATTCGTTCTTCGCAGTTTAAGACCGACCTGCGACACTGGGTGACGCTGAACCCAAGAAGAGGTGAAGAGAAAGACCAGCAATGCCAATCATGGTCCGTACCTATCGTTCCACTTGGCTCCACCGGACCATCGGACGCTCGTTTCATGCTCGACGACATGTGAAGGGATGTGTTTCAAACGAATTAGATGGGACAGGTTGATGGTGCCAGCTGAGAACAAGCGAGCTGGTGGCTCCCAGCTTCGCTGCCTGGAGACCTTTCATATCGACAGAGAGATGACCTGCTCACTTCCAAAGAAAGTAACGGCTATTGGATGTTCCAGGGTCAGCTTCTGCGCGGAGGAAGACTTACAGTGTTCACTCTTTCAATTTATATATATATATAACAGCCGTTCTGCTCGCCCCCTCCCACGCACCTTAAAAATCAACAAAAGAGTGTACCACAGGGATGCAATCTAGCTACATATCACATATTCCATTGATATCCGATAGTTTTGCGCAGTCTAATGAGTAATCCTTGTAGACTCAGTCATCTCAAAAAACCACATGAGGACCCTCCATCGACCCAGTTCTCACCCACGACTCAGTGGGGAGAGTTCTCGTCCCGGACCTCCGCCCGAAGAGCCTCCGACCGCTGTTTGCTGACCCGAGGAGCTGCGTGAGATCGGCGGCCGTCAGAAGACAAATCAACGGCATACAGGACCTGAGGATCGGCGAGAAGGAAGACGGACGAAGGAACGAGGGCCCCCCAGTGAAAACCGAACGCCTCTGGATCGGCCGGTCGCCCGCTGAAGGGTCGCTGGACGACGGATTTTGGATACCGGGCTCTGGCCTAGCGAACTGAGGTTCGGTGGGACTGGGGTGGGTGCCATGGGGGTCTAACCACCTTCTGAGGATATGGGCCAGGAACCCTAGGGATATAACATGATATAACATTATATACTATATTAATAACATGATCCACGGCCGCTATGATGACGAATGGCAGGAAATGGTCTAATGGTGCATGAACAGGTTTCATGATTTTCCAAGTGGGAAGCTCCACTGGATTTCCCTTCTATAGTGCGTCGTGGCTCTGCTGCCAGATTTCAAATTCCAAGGAGACAGAAGAAACATGGTAGAAAGGAGCAGCCCAATGGACTATCCATGAGACGTGTCTATATAGCTCTCTGCACCTTGGGATGTTTTGTTTCCTAATGGTCCTGTATCCCGTTGGTCCTCTGATGCATTTGCACTTCACTCCGAAAATACCAGGTTCAGTCAATTGAGTCTGCCACTGAATCCGAAAGCCAATCGTTGATAGAATGGTGTGCTTTTGTCAAATGCACCAATAGTCTACCAATGTGTTTGGTTCGGATAGTAACATTGGAATGACAAAGGCTTGCGGAAAGCGATTACCCCACTGTAGATCAGTCAGTCTTGCAGCAAATAAATGGCAAAACATTGCAGTCATGACACACGGCAATGAAGGGCAACATGGTGGAAACGACCTCGCTGATGCCTCAGAAACAGGTGCAACCACAGTTGTGTAGTACAGATGAACCACCTGTGTAGTGCAACCATTTGGTTTGGTTTTTCAGATGAATGTCCTTGTGTGGCAACCCACATGTCTTGAGGCCGAGAGCTGGGTAGAGGGAATATGGTTGGTTTTTCGTGCACATTGGCACCATCCGAACCCGGCAGGCCAACAACTAAAGGTGATATGGAGTGGCTTAAGGAATGCAGGAACGCGTAAAACCAACCCAAGAGGCTACTGTCTGATAGTTCAACACCACACCAGGGTTCACAAACCCCATGTTTGCAAGCCACATGATATTTGTTTACCAAACAAGAAACCGGCAAAGCGGCAATCCTTTGCCGGCTTGCCGCCGATGCGCCAGACACAACGTGAACGCACCCTGCAAAACACGGTCAATGACCCAAAGACACGTGCACTGTAGTTTATACAACCTACAGATTTACAACACAATGATCATGAATAAGAACCACTAGACCATCTTCACGCCGTCTTTGTGAGCCGAAAGGTCTGACCTTATTCTTGACGCCGCAATTGCAACAAGGTAGATTTTTTTTTCGCTTACATCACACCGCAATGGCCCACCACAACAACAACAACAACAGACCATCATGTGATTATGTTTTTGACCCACCGCTCGTCAATATGGTTCAATCTTGGTCCTCTCTCAAGGACACTCTGAGTGGCTGTCAGTGTAGAGGAGATTCACCACCGCCCCAGCGCCCATCACCTCATCGCCACGTGTGAGAGCAGAAACACCAAATGGCAGGTTGAGTCATGTGAACTAGCCAAACATAGTCAGACGCTGTGGCTTCCACGACTTTCTCACTACACTGCAAGCCCTGGCAGCCACCTTGCTCTGTCAGCATGTGGAGACCGCTACTTACACAAAGTGCAGGTCCATGCAGAGTGCCGGCCGTGGCTGCACCGTGGAATTTAGATTGCATTTGCATTTTTGCATGTGTGTTTGCATGTGGAAGGGCTGCACCTTCCAACCCTTTGCTAGTTTCCTCGACGGGGATACTCACTGACAAGTAACTGTCGCGGAACCGTGCAACGTAGACCGTCCAAGTAGTTGTCGTCGCTCCCCAGCATTTTACTCGTAATGTCTGTATGACGACTTCCAGCAGTGAGTCGAAGATGGGAAATCTACAAACAGCCCAGATCTGGTGGGAGTTCCGCAAGAGAATGTGTGCAAACTGTAGTCACCGTAAAGGAATCATACCAGTACAGTCTATTGAACTGTTCAATAAATAGGCTACATCACAAAATGTTAAAACATACAGCATCAGTGACACCTATCAGGCGCATCTACCTTGACGCAAGTATCGGGCCCCAAAACAAACCACTTCTCAAACTCACCAGACTAAACTGTGATAGATTGCCGCGTCCCATAAGCTGAGCATGTCTGATTGAACTTGAGAGGAGAGAGACACGAAAGGTAGGACAGCGGGAAGAGAAGAGAACGCGAGAGGCAGGAACAAAAATGCAATGTTCGACATGGTTATTTATCCCCTCGGAGGCGACCTTTCGTAAATATATGCACTCTAAATGTTCAAACATATGCTCTCGAAATGTTCAAAGAGATTCTTAGGAAAACAAACTTGCCCCATGGCTCAGATCATCGGTGAGCATTGAATCGGAGCATCATAGGATTTGAACTATCCTGAAACCATAAGAGGCTCACGAAGACGCTCGCCAGGAGAGAATTGACGTGCTTCACAAAACAAACTCTAGGTATGTATCCCCTTGGGGAACACCTTTCGTGATTAGAATTTCATATGCACTCTTTCTGAATGTTCAAGAGGGTTTAAACTATCCTGAAATCATGAGAGGCTCACGAAGACGTTCTCCAGGAGAGAATTGAAATTAAAGGGGGGGAGGGTCTGTATTGAAAAATCAATTCCAAGGGGGCCGGGGGGGGGGTCTGTATTGATAAATCAATTCGAGGGGGGGGGGGGGTTGAATTGGATGATCAATTATTAGACCCGGACGTCCCAACACTTGCTTCGCAAGACAAACTCAAGGTATCCCCTAAAGGGCTACCTTTCGTGACAACACATTTGGTCGTTTTTGCTCTGAGAAGCACGGTTCAGAGAAGCAAACACTGAAGTCTGGGCGGGGCAAGTCTGTTCGTTCCTGTCATCGGCCGCAAGTCGGAACAACAACAAACCCACCGCTCAACACGGTGGCCCACGCTATCGGTTAGGTGATGAGAAAAGAATAGTGGCTTGCAAGGTATGCCACTGGAAACCCAGCTATTTTCATGTTGTTTCAACATATCTGACTTGAAGAAAGAATGCCCTATAGCCTCCTTATGTTCCCTTCACTACATGGTAGTTTTTTGTACAGTTCCTTTTTCTTCTTCGTCTGCCTTCAACACTGATATGCAGCTTGTAGAAGAAACCAGTGGTTGAGCCGGTATATACATGTTCATGTGGGGGATGTTGACGACCAGGTCCTCCAATCACATTACACTCCTTGGAACTAACATGGACCCTTTTCCACTACAATCAGGTGGTTGTCCACTTCCATGTTAGTTCCAGGGAGAGTAACCCCAGCTTTGCGGCGGCGGTCTGTCCTTCATCCCGGCTGCTCAAAGCTCCGAGGGTTCAGGATGCAACCCAACTGACCGATCTATCATGGAGATGAGGTTGGTCTGTGCGAAGGGCGAAGCAAACAAGAAGGGTAGACTACCAACGTCTATTCCAAAGAGCTGTCGGCTGTTGGCATGTCCCCCTGAAGATCCAGAAGAACCAGACCAGTGGGCCCGACAAGCGCGCCGTGGCCGGGAAGGGGCTCATATGTTGCACGCACGATTGAGCCGTGAACACGGTGAAACAGGTAGCACAACGAATGCATTCGAAGTCCACACCAACATGAGTGAAACCCCGAGAACCAAAGGGTTTTGACGGTCGGGACCCGCTGCGGAGGCTCCGGACCCGCTCTGGAAACTCCAAGCTTGAGGCTCTGCCTCACCCTTCCTGCCCAGAGGCTGGAATCACCAAGACCATCGAAAGCATACTGTAGGAACATCCATCACAAAGACCTGGATGGCACGAACCGTAGCAGAACCAGCAGCACACAAGAAAAGCCTGCTCCTGGCACTAGTCTTTGGACAGGTCATGAGGGCAGTATATAAGTGTTAACTGCATTCTCCAGCCCGTAACATGGAGTGATATTGCATGTGAAAGTAGGTCATGATCACAGTAAGTCAGTAGCCAAGCAATAGGAATATCATGTCCTTTTCCAGAATTTCTGGGACGGGGGGTGGGGAGGGTGCAGCAGCAGCCAACAAAACCAAACACACACCAATAACGCATCCAAGTGCGGCACACAGAAACACAATTCGTTCAAGGTTGCGCTGCCAGTGATGTGCATGTGTGATTGCAGATTCTCCAGTCTCCAGCCACCGATACGGAACATGGACGATCGTCGGTTCCGTGTGAAAAAAGCCCCACCCCGTTCCGAAGACCCTAGTTCTTTGATTTTGCTACTTCACTTGATGATGTGTGTCTACGTTAGCTGATGAGCTTGTCCTACCACCCAGCGGAAGAAAATGGTTTGAAGAACCTGCTTCTGGGTTAGCAAGGTGCAAGCTGTAAGGTTTGAAAAGACGGCTCATGGGTAAAAAAAGAGTCATGGGTCAAAAGAAGGGTTAAAGAAGCACAAGTCGGTTCCTAGAATTGAACCATGGGTTGTTGTATATAAAAGGTTCTTGAATATCAATGCCATACCTATATTTTTCCAACCCAGGGTTATATAAGCAAACATCAAACATATTACAATGACAAACAAATAGTCTGTCCTTTCTTCCTTCTTTCCTCCATTCATTCCTTCATCCTGACAACAATGTGTGGCTGATCCTGATAATGAGTTTTGTGTTGATGCCCGTGCCAAGAAAACTTGTAAACTCGCAAGCCACTGGAGTCAATCAAGGAAATAGTATTAACTAGCAACCCTGGCAAGCTGTCCTTGTTTGGGAGGGAACACCTTTTCAGTATTTCTTGGAGACCCTTCTAGAAAGACTGGTTGCTACAGAAAGAATCTTGTAAACAACAAGATTGATGATTGAAGATTGTTGTTGAGCTGCTATCCAAAAAACATCGGGCCATGGTCCGCTCGAAAACACACCATCTTGGGGCATGGGGCGCCCTTGGGGCGTTTGTTTCCCAGGGAATTTGTGGTCAAACACCATGACAAACATCATGAATTTGGGCCGTGCCAAGCAGCAGCGGATGAAGATCTGGATGGTGTTCCACTCTTGGGCCATTCCTGCGGAGACGTCTCCGCTGACCGGAACACGTTCGAACGAGGACTTCGGTTCGTGCATTGTGCTTGGAATTCTGTGACATCGGATCCATGAACTCGAAAGCTCGGGTGGAGAATGGGACAAGCTCTGCGGACTGAGTGGGTTCCAATGCATCTTCCACTTTCACATGGACTTTTGAAATAGATGAGTGGCGTTCGGAACAGGGGGAGGGAACAGGGTAAAAATATGTTGGACTGTGACTATGGATATCCATGTCTTTTGAGACTCCAAAGTCATCTTGGAGTCTGATCCATTCCTCAAGACCAAAGTTCATTGTTGTGGGTCGTTTACATGACCACTCTGTGTTCGTTGGGAATGCAAATCTAGGGAAAACATAGGGAAACCACTCTGTGAAACATAGGTCTTGGTGTCATCCGGATCATGAGCAAAACCATTTGGCATCTGGGAATCTAATGGTATCTACTACTGGTTCACAAAAGATGCTTCTTTTTGCATCTTGTTGCATAGGGGACCATGTCTTGGATATCTTGTTCTTTCAATGGAGTGCTGCCAACACCTGAAGGCATAGATGAGAAACCACAGCAACAAAAATAACTAGCGACCCATGCGCAGCACTCCTTTTGTGGCATTAAGATGCATTATATGAGTGCATGCAGGATCATGCAGGCAGAATAAACATTTGGCCACAGCTTTGCCTGGGCCAATGCTCAGGACTATCAGGGCTTCAGCCCCCCCAAAGAGACTCATCTGCAAGCAAGCTGTACCCAGACATGCAAGACACCCGAGTCGATCGTGCGATCCTCCGGTCGGGCAGATCTCGAAACGCATGTGGGTCGGTACATCCAGATCTCGCATCTCGGTTGGTCCATTGGGTCGGTTCCACTGGGTCTGTCTTGCGTCCTTCGAAGTCAATGTCGTCTTGGGCCAGGTTCTGCATATACCGAATCCTCAGCGCATGTCGTTGATCGTTGAGGATCGTCATGCGGTTTGGACCGAAGATCCGTCCGACGGTGTTCCGTTCAGCGGACCACGGCGTCCGAAAAAAGGGGACCCAGCGTCTTGTGAAATTGGCTTCCATACGACACAACTGATAGTTATGCGGATTCACCTGTGAAGTCTCGAATAAGCTGTCATTGTTGGTCAGTTCTGGGTGAACACAAGAGTTGAAGACAAGTGCCATGCTTGTTTTGCAGGATCATACGTTGCAATGTGGCACCGCTTAGCTGCATCTTCTCATCAAAACCGTACCTCATGATCCACCTTAAGTACAAACATTGACATTGACAAACCAGCACAGTGGTCACATTATGCAAATCTAGCTACTACCAGGCCAAACATGTTCCTCCTTGCACACTAATTGCAGTGTGTCCTTTTCCAATAAGAATTGCTCCAAGAGGCAATGCCCCGTGACCCCTCTTGCAAATCAAAGAAGGCTGATGGGTGACCATCCCAAGCCTACCCCAAGCCTGCCGTTTTAAGACATCACCGACCCATCGATCTTTATGACAGCGGCTTGGAGGACGCATATGTTCTTCCTATGTAGTAAATGAGACACCAAGCCTCATTGACACAACAAATCATTGCAACCCCCAAGAAAAGCATGAAGTTGTTGACTTAGAGCATGAATCCATCAAAGCTGCCCGAATGATCAAAAGATCTGTATGATGGTCATAAAAAAGTGTCATTCTGAATGGGGCTCTGAGCTCTGCGCTTGGTGTCACCGAACTTGGTCAAGAAAACATATTTGTTCAACCCAAACGCTTCAAACAGCCTTTGGTCCCTCAAAATGCAGGAACTTGAGACCCCAGACCCTCCATTTGAGGGTCCGATCCCTCCAAACGGGGTCCATGAGTGTCTGGGAAGGTCCCTAGTAGCACCTGGAAGGTGTCATTCTTTGACTGTCTGTCGCCACGATCTGACCCACTTTGCTGATCTGACCCACCCACTGCCTTACTTCCGGGATTGTTCATGCCGTAGACGGCTTCCACATCTGACACCACGCAACCCAACACAGCTCATTCAACTTGGCCAACAGATTTCCTCCACCGAGCCAACTCACTACACCAACCCAACTCACTACTCTGACCGCATCGGACCAATACACGTTCCACTTCTTGTTTCAAGTCCTGCTCGGTTTGTCGCTGTTGAACGAGTCTCTGGATGTCGCTGGGTTTGTCGCTGGAGTGACCCCCCCCCGTCCTTGGTCGGCCTTCCGCATGACCATCTTCCAGAAAGAAGCTGTGACGGCTACAGCAAAGAGATGCAGAGCAGAGAGAGAGAGAGAGAGACCCCCGACAGTAGACTATCGCTTTCATCGACCCCCTCCCCAGGCATCAAATGATGATCTAGGCCACTTCCCTGAGCCGAGCCACAAGCTGGTTTTCATTGCAGAGCAAATGTGAATGATCCGCATGCACAAGGCGCACACGACCGAAGCGCAAGAGATGAAGACCACACTGCCTGTCAAGTCTGGTGGCTGGTGACTTGAGATATTTGATTCATGCACTGGTCTCCTGAACACCAAGGGATACCAAGGGTATCTCTGGTGCCATGGGCAGGTCTTCAGTTCATCAAGAAAAGACCAGTGTGTTTACACATCGGATGCCTTTTTTTGTTTTCCGTTCACCGGGTGTCGGGCGTTTTCTCTGCATCAAGTTGATTGGAAGCCTCTGGTTTTCTCGCTTGGGGAAGGGAAGTTGAGGAATGTTGAGGAAGCAAACATGAGGCAAAGCATTCGAATACATAACTAGTGCCAAACTGTGAAGGAATGCACCCTTTAAAAAAGGAAAAAACAAACCAACAACAAGAATGACCCAATCGAAATCTTCAACCACCTACAGTACCGGCTTTCTGAGTCCACAGAACTCAAAACCCAAGATTCATGACAGCTCGCAGCCGAAGACCATGTTCACAAATTCAGATGTATGTATTTGTGTCGCTCTTCCTTCCGCCGTCTTTTTCTGTCATCAATACGCCGTATACATACAAGCAGCTCCTGAGCTGCGTAGTAATTGATCACATCTCTGCAACTGGCCCCCAAGCAACTCCAAAAAGGACCAACTGCAAACGTGGCGTTTCCAATATTTGTGTGGGTCAAACCCGGGCTACCTGGTCGCTAAGGTCAACCTACCCTGGTTGGGGGATCCGGGTTTTGACTCATGTCTCATGCCACACGACGACAGCACAATCCTCTATATAGAGTGCCTTGGAGAAGTTCTGCAGAAGGTCAAGGGAGCAATTCCCCAGCGCAAATGGTTTCGCAATGTTTCGCAGGTGGTACCGGCTGGTATGTCTGGCATGTCTGGTCATCTACTCACCAGTATTCAGCAATCCTAGGTCACCACACCCCCACCATCACCCGCCGATAGGCCCAAACTCCGTGCCTGAAACCACCTCAGCAGCGGGTTTTGGGCCTTTTTGAACTCGAAGGTAGCGAAACAAAAAAGAACTCTGACCAAGACATCACATGGAAGTGGACGGCATGGCCATCACTTCGACTTGCCATCACTTGCCATCACGGGGTGCCATCATGTGCCATCCACTTCCATGTGCTCAGTCAGACTGTTTGGCTCCTCTTGTCTCCTCTCGTGGGCCGTGGCACCACGGGGCACCCTGGACCCCGGGTCCAATGAACCGATCCTTGATGTCAACCGATACACCCAGCTTGGGTGTGTGGTCGCTTTTAACCTTTTTTTACCGATCTACACGTCTGGAACCCAACGGTGAGCACACGGTGGTCTTCGGAACTTCGGAAGTGGAACAAACCATCGTCTTTTCCGAACTGAACCTCGCTCCGGTTCGAATGGTGGGGTCGAATGTAGGATGAACGCACCCTTGTAAAGGGACCGTGCTGGGCCGTAATGGAGATTCTTTAGAGGTTCTGAAACTGTTTGAAACACTAGTGTGCAATCGTAAGAATATGTGCGTATGTTATTACTACACTCCGACTCGCGAACATGGAAATGGAAAACCACCTGTTTCTAAGACTAGAGGAAAGTATTCTTCCAAGGAGCCATTCTCCACGTACCCATGTGAGTGAGTCAGAGTGTAAACATCTATCGCAACTGGTTCAAGCAAGTGTGTAGAAGAGTGGGTGAAGCGTGAAAAAACGATCGCACAAGATGGGCGAAGCTGACTTGAGGAACATTTGGGCTTCGGCTTGCACAGTCGCTTTCTTCGAAACCTTCCTTCGAGGGTGTTGAGACGAGTGTGAACCGAGTGAGGACGGGGTTGTCTGGTCTTTCAGGCCTTGGACCACATTGCATCTTGCCATCTACTAAGGGCTCTTGAAGTTGGTTTTGACCGTCTACCCTACGTTCTCCCTTTGTTGGTGTCTGTTGCTCTGCCTGTATCTATACCTCCTTAAAGACTTATCTGCCGGTAGCCTGTAGCCTCTCTGCCGGTCCCAGGGTCGGAGATGAGAGTACCCACATGTAGTCTTCTTTCACTAGGAGATCGAACGATGTTTGGACTATTGCTGCTTGGACGGGGTTAGATGATTCTGTAAATGCTAGCCTCATGCAAAGGGAAATCCAAATCAGTGTAGCAATCAGGCAAGGGATAGCCCAGAGAACCCAGACTTTCAGACATTTGACTTCCGTGTATGTACGGTAACCCCAAACAAGCTTGGACTTACTTCCACTGACAAGAACGCCATCAATCCCGCCATCCAGGACTCATCGGCGCCGCCTAGTGGCTTGTATAGCTGATGTGCCCGGATACAGTCGGGTCTGAGGGCGGAGGCTTTCAAACAAAAGGCACGCGGCCATACCCCACAGGCCGGACAGGGCAACATATATAGCGACCTTCCACCCTTCATTCTCATCATAGTTTAATAAAAGAAGTGAATTGGAATATTAACATATGATGTTCATTCAGGTTTTTCTTCTTTATTATGGCATTCTACATTAAATTTCTTCATCCAAATGAAAAAGTGCTTCCCCAAGCATGACAAAACATCACCCCTCTGGTTGCCACCCAAAAGAGCAAGGTCCCGCGAATGATCCCAGGGGTATAACTACTGGGCCCTCTACTGAAATACTAGGGCCCTTTCCAAAAGCTACAAGCCACGGTCCAAATCACTTCTGGACTTGGCATGAGCGTCGTCTTTGAGCACGTCCCCTGGTAAACACCGCATGTCCTGGGATTGTCCCCTTCCAAACGAAGCAAAGGCCGTCGCAAACGAAGCCTGGTTTGTACCGTACTGGCCGTCTCAGGGAATCCAGACATCCGGTTCTCACCGAGAAGTCTCGGTGTACGAGATGCTGAAGTGCGAAGCAACCACCGGTTCCAAGCATAGGAAAACTGCATAGGATCATTCACTGATCTAACACATGAAGTATATAACTGATATGACGCTGATATATATATATATATATATATATGTATGTTTTTTGATGCTAGTTTTTCATGGGCGCGACCACTCGACCGTCGTGACGACCGTCGTGACTCCACCACTCGACACTTAGCTTTTTCTACGGCCAAACAAACACTCTATGTTCTGGCGCGTCAACAAATACTGACCCTATATAATCCTATATATACTATATAGCCTAATATAGTGACCAGCCTCAGAGTCAGCATCCGCCTCGCCGAAGCCGGCCTTGTAGATCTCCGACGCCGCACCAAACAGCATCGACGCCATCCAGGCACTCCCCCTGTAGATCTCGTCGCGGGAGAAAGAGACCCACCAGCGTCCGGGAGGGTTGATTGAGATCGAAAGGCGCAGGAATGGGCCAAACAAGGCAAAGGAGGGGACGAGCTGTTTCATGTCCGAGTTGGCACCGGCCCAAGTGGAAACCAAAGAGAATGGTGGCTTCACCAATCTGTACGTTTACTGATGCTTGCACACCGCGGCCTGTGCTCAACGCGTGCAGTGGTTGTACTTCCTACTGCCATGGGTGGTTGTGAAGCTGTAGATCCTCCGGAAAGGTTTCTCTTCTACTATTCTCAGGAAGCTCTGCTTTGGGCTGGGGGGAGACCTCCCTGTTTCTTGTGGCTTCGGTTTTGCAGATGTTCTGCACGATGCAAATGATATAGCTTTTAATCAAGACCAATTTTTCGAGACAAGCCCAGGAACTGCGGCAAAATGGTGGTCAGCAATGATCCCGCTTCGTAAGAAAGTTATCTTAGGAACAAGAAGCTACTAGGAGCAAAGGGCATCGCTGCTAGGAGCAAGGACGCTATTAGTAGCTCCTGGCCTTACTACTAGTAGCAAATAGATATTAACTGCCACGCATTCCAGTTCACTTCTACCCCCGATCTCCCGCTTCGAACCGTGACTTCACCTGTTTACACAGCAAGCCTCCACATCAGCCCAGCCCAGCTGATATGTGCATTGCTCGCTAAGTCACAAGAACCTGCTGTTCCGCTTGGATACAAAGATCCATGGCTGGACATAGCCCATACCAACCTTGGCTGAACTTCCGTGAGTGTTTCTCAGGGCGAAAAGAAGACTGGGTCAGGCTGGTTGCTTCCCATGGCAAGATGACACTCTGGCGCACGTTCCATGGTTATGTGGATGGCACCTCATGTTCCTAGAGGAGAGCAGTCTTCCTTTCACGACCATTCACTTACCAACTTACCACTTCCATGTTTTCAGTGTTTCATCAGAGTGTAGATCTGGCCGAGAAGCAGAGTGCGCTTGAAGGAGTTCATCTTGTTCCCCTTGCGAGTTGCTCGGATCGTCTGTGCGTTCACCGGTGCAGCCGACAGGGTGAACGGAGAATGAGCCTATATGGAGAGACAAATGACTTAAATAACCCAAGCAAAATGTAAAATGATCAATGCAAACGATCTCTAAAAAGAAAGACTCTTCCACATCATTACATCACTTTCATACATTTTGCACCCAACAATCACATCAGGGTGCGGCCTTGAGACGTCTGATGCTGTATTATTTATACACATTCCCCAACGTTTGCAGAACCAGGTTCACACAAATGCATTAACACTCCATGTGTTTAACCAACCCAAATGCCTCACTCTCCAGGTTCTAGATTGTCCCCGGCACAAAAACAAACTCCACCTGATGGCAAGCCCACGTCGGAGAACTTCACGCCAAAGTGATGCGTCAAAAGACCAAAGCCAGCACCTGGGGATCACACGAGCTCAATGTTCAATAAGAAGGTCAAAGATACATGGCCACTTAGCCAGGCATAAGGGTGGCTGGATCCAAAAGGAATCTAAGGGGGGGTGAAACAAACCGCGAAACTTCCTGAATGAGTCACACCAGTCAAACAATCAACTGGTGAATTTTTTGGACGTCAGGGCTCAAAGTGGAGGAATATTCATGCGGCGTGTTCGAAAATATACTAAATGCAAAGTGCATGTCAGATAATGTTTGTTGGTCTGCACCTACTTACCTAGCCTATCCACGTTTAACATTCAACTCTTAGCAGCCGAACAACACTGTACAAAACCCCAAAATGTTTACCATGGGTCCAAAACTCGTGCCTGAGCTGCCAAGATGATGAACATCTCATTGATTTAGCTATAAACGGTACGTTGGGACGTGTTTTAAAAACATTGGTCGGTCCGGTTCTGCTTGATTTTTCACCGCTCGGTTCCACCGAGCCACTGACCACCAGCCCATAGTTCCGCACGTGCCGAAAGAAGGGGTGGTTCATCTCCGCAGTGGCCGTGCGCCTCGGACTGTGTCCCAACAACCCCTGTGGTTTTCCCCAACATGTGAAGAGACGGGAGAGGTGGAAGAGTGATGACCTGATGCCCCCCAAAACGCCCCAACAAAACACCAAAGAACACCGATTTCTGTGGCTTGTGTCATTCCGAAATATTCCGAACACCGGTTGTTGGATGCACTCGCGTGAACACCGTGTTGTTTCGGATCTTTGATCGCACCCAGGGCCCCATCACTGGCCTAATGCGAATGAAAAACGTATTTGAAGCATCGAGGAGTGCAACGGATTTCTTCTCCTCCTTCTTGCGCTTTTGCAACGGCTCAGAGGGGTTTACTGCTTGTTGCGACGGTAGAACGACAGTGATGGGTTACTGCGACGGTAAGAAGGGTCTTTTGTGTCGGTAGAGGGTTTACTGCGACAGGCAAGGAGGAAGAAACTAGTGGACTCCTCCTCCTCCCTCCTCCTCCTCTTCTCCTGCTCCTGCTCGAGGACTCCTCCTCCTTCTCCTGCCCCGTCTTCTCCTCCTCCTCCTCCTCCTGCTCTCCCTTCTCTTCCTCCTCCTTCTCCTCCTCCACATCCTTCTTTTTTCCTATTCTCCCCTCTTCGCGCATTCCTCCACCTGTCCTGCTCCTCATTGCGCTGTTCCTGCTTTTCCTTTCTTCCTTTTTGTCCTCCGTTGCTCTTTTCCGCCTCCTCTTTCTTCTTTTATCTTTTCTCCTTCTCCTTAAGTCTCCCCCGTTTCGGCCTCTTCTCTGCTGGCCTCGGCCTGCTGGTCCTTGTCGCTGTGTTTTCTTGGCGGTGTCACTTAGAGACGTCGGAGGAATTTCCTCGAAGATCATTGGGCAAGCCTTGGGGGCTTCCACGCCAAACATTTCTTCAAGATCTCTATCCACGTCGGAGTTTCCACGCAAGACCTCTGTTCAAGATTTCTATCCATGACGACTTGGCAAGACTCTACAAAGATTGGTCAGCGTCTCTTGGCTTCCCACCATATAGGTGGTCCACAGTGTTGGTGGCAATGCTGGCGCACGGCTTTTCACCCAAATGCGCTCCTCGAGCTGTCGTGCCAATCGGTTGATTCGCGCTCGCCTGCAAGTGCGACAATTGGTTCCTGCAAACACACAATGTTCTGTGATCCTACAGATGCAAAAAATACGGTGAACCGATGCAAAAAACCTTCCTTAGCAGGCACCATCGCCCAAAAAAACCGTTGAACCGACGCAAAAAAAACCCTCCTCAGTGGATACTGTCGAGAAAAAACACTTCCTTTTGTTTCAGGAATGTTCCAACTGATTAATCGAAATAACAAAAAACTTATTGCCTTATCAACTTGTCGCAAAAAAACAAACAAACAACCAGTCCCGTGGAACTGGTGTTGGCCAACGAGTGGGAAACCCCCTCAATGACCTCGCTCATGACTGGAAGCCACTGACACCGAGGGCAAATGCACCCCGTCACCCTCAGAATCCGGGGCCCTTGACCCCTGACCCCTGCCATGGAGGGCCTATGTCTCCCTGGCCAAGCTCCCCAGGCCCTCGACCGGGTGCCGGATCACCGGTTGGTGCCCGAGCACCGGTTCGTTGGTGTTCAGAGGATCGTTGCTGCGTTCTTCAGCTTTTGACTTCCGCTGTGGCTTCATGCATGTTGTTTTCCAATTGGACACGTGATTCTCGTGAAAGACCTGGTTGATTGAGTAAAACATGATCTCAGGTGGTGTAGCAAAATGAAAAAGACAACTCATCCTACCTTCCGGCCGTTTTGACACGAGAAGAAGAGCGCCAAGTCCAGGCTTGTCTCGCCCTTGTCATGTGGATGTGAATTTCGATGAATTTCGTGCCCGGGCCTATCCCTCAGCCTGTCGCCGCGTGGCTCGTGTAGCTCGATTTGCCCATGGAGGCCAATGGCTTCAGCCATCTGGGAATGGATGGGGCAGGGACGAGTTGCATCACATCCAAGTAGCATCCAACCTCCCAACTCCTTCCACTCCATGAGACTGGAAATAGTTGCCATGAAAACCCCTAAATGTATATATTATATAGGGTATACGGGGTATATATATATATATCATAACTAATTCCAGTCCCACTACTGGATGGTCTGGGCATCCCTTTCAGAATTTCAGGCCCGTGAAGCATGTCGGTGTTCACGGTTTGCTTCATGTTCGGTGCCACAGACCCAAATGCATCAGTTTGCTGAGCCTGTTCATTCCTGTCCCTGGAAGAGACCTTTTTCGTGAAACCTTCCCAGCTCTGATGATTTAGAGTCCCGAGCCCACAACAAAAACGGTCTTTAAACAGTGGCTTGTATAGGTAGTTGTAACACGACTTAACAAGTGAAGCTAAATCACCAGTGGCATTATATTCGAGTCATCCTTTGGACAAACAAAGCCGTGAACCGACAAAAAACCTTCAGGTTGATTACCACCTGACATGTCATAGATTCTTTCAATCCTTCTCATGTATATAATGATAATTTTCTTGATGTCAATTAAAGCATCTTGATATAGGAACAACTATGTTCCATCTTCAGGGAAGACAGCGGTGATTCTTTGCTCTGACTTCACATTCCAAGTCAGCCCTCCCAAGTATATACAAGTGAGACACAGTGAGACCTTTCTGAAGAGTTGATTCCCAACACTTAACACTTGAGATTTCCTGCGGTTGGCCAGAGGCCCAAGGTAGAACCACAAATATCTGAAGATCCCACCAACCTCCAACTCTCCAGAATACATCCTTTGCCTCCACCCAGTGGTTTTCAAATCCATCCCGGGCCGATGTCGACGGAATTCACCCAGCAGCCACAATCACAGCCATCAGGCAAAAGCTGATCAACATGGCCTGGGTCCATCAGCTCACTCGTCAGAACAAAGTGCTCCGGACTCGGGAGGGTCTTGCGAGGCGCTCTCACTCTTCTCAACTGTTCAAGGTTCACTTTCAAAAGTGGGTTCTCGTCCTCCGACATCGTGAACATGTCCAATCAAACACCACTGGAGGAGGACCCACCATCATCCCAACACTGTAGAACCAAACACCCTACATCCCAACACTTCCAAGATGGAGCCCACCATCTTGGGATCCAACCCTCCACCGACTCTTTCGCTAACGCCCGCCTTGTAGGGCCGATTCATGGATCGGAGCCCTACCAGGTGCCGCAGCCACCACAAGCCCCGGCGGAAGGACATGTTGGTCTTGGCCATCGCCACCTGCAGAGGCGGAATCGCCAAGATATCTTGAAACGCGCCCGAGCAAGAGCAGCGAGGGCAAGATCGGACTATGCGGCCTCGCTGAAGAACAAACTTTATCATCAGACTTGTGCTTCATCAGTACTATAGTTCACTGTTGTCAGTCCGTTTTCATCCCTTCAAACCCGATGTCGCCCTGGCAGCCCATGTCGCCTCCTCAGCCATGTCCTTGCGCATCTCCTCCGCCAATGAGAGCGCCTGCCGCCGCCAGGCACCTGGCACCGGTGGTCACGGTTGACCCTCCAAAAAGCATTGTGTTTGAAGACTTTTGGTATGTCAGTATGTCATCAACTGTTCTTGGTGACGGAAATCCAAGAACCCGCTCTGACACCAGACTTGGAACAAGCTGATGTCGGATGTGCATCAATGGATATACAGTACCATGATATACAAGGGTATAACTTACACTAAACCTTATAAGACCACAACATAGCACGACATCAAGACCACCACGCTACACGTCATGACTCCACCACTCAACACATATCAAAGTATCAAAGCACCACAGAAAGTGCTTCACCTCCGACAAAGCAAGTCACTCTTATAGGCTGGGGATCACTTGAAATGAATGAACTGTGTCACCTATTAGATCCTTCAAATCCAAGCAACGAAATCCCCAGCTGCCCCCTTCATTCTCCTTGGTTCTGCCCCTTTCTAATCCTTTCCAAAGAACGCATTGACTGCATCCACTGGGTCACTCCAGATCGTCTTCACCGGTGGCCTGACACCGTCTTCGGGAGCTGTTTGAACTCCGCGTTGGGCTTCCGTGTCCTCCGACCGCGGACGGTCCGTGCCCAAAGACCCGAAAAAAGGTGACGAAGGGGAAGGACCGGAGGTTGGATGCCCACCTGCGTCACCACCTAGGACCCAAATTCTTTTTTTCATGGGCGCAAAGGTGCTTGCGGTTCAGCGGTTGCAGTTGAGTGTCCAGGTGAATTCGCTTTGCGAGATTGGTGAATTCGCTTGAGGGTCTCCAGAAATCTGTCAGTGATCACGGCGCAAACGCCGATGTCTGCTGCTCAGACTGGATAAGTTTGTTGGAGGATGTTGTTCTATACAAAATCCCGAGGCACGTCCAAGTATAGATCAAGGTACTGGCTGTTGCGGTGTTACCCAGGATGGGAGACTGATTGCATGCTCCTAACATGCATTGACAAGTACGCGTAAGTGTCTGCTGATTTGTTCATATTTTTCGGGGTACTTGCAGCCAAGAAAAGTGAATCAAAAGCGAGACGTGAGCCAAGATATGTGCTAATTATAAAATTATATCGATTCAAAGGGTTCAAGCATCTTCAAGCGCTTGTTCAGTCCTGACTCGGTTTGGCAACAAGATGCAACAAGAAACAACCAGGCAGGAGGTTTGACCCGTAAAAAACAATTCTCATCATCACTTGGGCGGTTGCGCCCACAAAGGGTCTTGGAGTCTTGATCGAACAACTCTCGAGCGAGCTGGTTCACCGGACGAGTGCGACGAGAGCGAGTTAGCGATGCAACTTCGCACTTCGCATGCAAGAAATGTTTTGGGTCCTGTGGATTGCATGAGGCAAAAAGAAACAAAAGAGGGACTGATGGACCACATTGCAAAAAATAAGATGAAAAACGAACACATGAAAAGTCCATTGAAGCCAAAGAATCTTCAAATTCTTCTCTTTTTCCCACAAGGACTGAAATGCTTTGTGGTGGACATGGACATGTCCCAGCTTTGACCCTGTGTAGTTGGACTCCATGGAAGGACTTGTACCACAAAGTGAGCTGAAGATGGAACCCTGCAAACAATAGAAATAAGAAGACAAGAAACATCCAACAAGCTCAAAAGGTCATGTTCTGGGCTTTCTAAGTCGTTGAACTGAACTGTTGTATGTACACTATATAACTACATACATTCTTCCCGTTGGTAGAAGAAGCTCCTTAACACCAAAGGAGAGGCACAAAAATGCACCCGAGTTTGGAGCAAACTGAGAGAACACACAGAACAATGCCTCCCAGGAATGTTTAAACATTGGCTTCTAGACAAGTCGTCAGAGGTCCGGTCAGCGAACCCAAACGAGACCGCACACAGACCCCCGTTTGGGACTCTTCAGGTCGTTCTGGGATCATCTGACGTAAACTTCGGTGGCGCGCGTGATCTGCCACGTGGCGCACTGCTCACAGCCCTGGTCATGCTGACCGAGATCTTTCTCTTGGGAGTCCTCAGGATCCAGGATCCACCAGCTGAGGGTCCGGTAAACCGAGTGACTACTTTCAAGGACCCAGTCCCTCAGGACCCGCCTCATGACAGGAAGTAGCCAATGAAGCAAAAGTGCTCAAAATCAGTGGTAACCTTCTTCTACGTGCCCAGAGAATATGCTTCTTCAACCGACCGTGAAAACGGTGAGAAGGGTATAAAGATGCGGTCCTGAGAAAACTCAGGGACCGATCAGGGTGGCACGATTATCGCATATCATTGCAATCTGTCAACATGCAAAACAAGGGCGTATAGCTGTGTATATATATATATAGGGCGTCCTGTTCAAACAATATCCGTTTCTCCCCGTGGCTGGCCTACTGATCTTCTTCCTTCAGGTGGCATATATATATATACTGAATATACCGACGATACGTGACGATACATATTTATATAAATACATGTTCGATCGTTTAATATGATAAATATAATAAACTATATGTACACCTCGAGACCCCACTGGTATGCTTTGAATGAATGCCGCGACAGTTTTAATTTTCTAGGACTGCGGCGTTTTGACTCAACCGGGGTCTGGACCTCAAGTCAATAAAACATATGTTTTGAATGCAGCGTGTTTGCCCATGTTTGCTGTGGGTTCCCCCACGTGTGCGGTGTGCTTGCCCAAGTCAGCGTGCAGTGTGTGTTTGCAAAGTTTGCTAAAAGCCAGTTGACACGTGTTTCTCGGAATGCGTTCTAATGCCGCTGAAATATCAGAGTTTTATGACGACAGCAAACATCGACGCAGCAAGACTCCCTGGGACATCACGACAGTAGGACAGTAGGAATATCACCGTGCGTTGTTTCAGGTGGTTCATGTTGTTGGTGCCCAGTGGGACACAAAACGACTCCTGTCGCCGAGTGGCTCGTGGACGATCTGAGGTTCAGAAGGGGAGATTTTGCAATAAAGAGGTCGTTGCAACTTAAGGTAGACTCTTGAGGACCATAAACCCCCCATATGAAGAGGACTTCCAATTCAAAAGGTGTGTTATGAATCAAGAGTCTACATCAAAAAACTCATCCATGAAAGCTTTGGCCATGATCTGTTTTTCCATTTGCGCATGCCTCTCAAGGCCGGAGCCTGGCTGCCAGGCAATGACCAAACATGATCAAAATCTCCAACATCTGACTTAGAACTCTTGGAAGACTACGACATGGTGGGACGTTCATTGGACATGACCCAACCACGGCACGGTTTGACGAACCGCATGTTCCCAACCACAGTTCGGCGAGCCAAGCAAGCGAGCCAAGTGTCCTGCTAGGTTCGGGAGGTGCATCTGGAATCAAACCTCCAAGTCTTTGGCCCGTGCGCACGCCGCGGTCCGCGCGGTAGCCCAAAGCAGCACAACACGTGAAGGTAGCAGTCTGACTGAAGGGTGTGAATTGGTGAACTTTGGTCCAAGGTAACTAACTAATTATTATACATTATATATATAATAGTTCCCAAGAGATCCACCAGTTGAGTGTGTATTACAATAGCGGGAACCGCTGGCACAAGGGAAATCGACCAAAGCCATCCAAAACCCATTGGTTGTGAGTCTATTTAAAAACACACCCATGTTGAAAACAACTTGTTCCACGCCATCAAATGGGTGGTCAATCACCGGACACGAAAAGCTTCACCGCAACGATCTCGTATTGGTCACTCAAGTTGCAGGAGAATCGCCAAAACATTTGAAGAAACGGCCTCAGTTCCGCTTGTTTCTCCCCTTGGTTTTGCCGTAAGAACCGTGTACCATCGTGTACCCAAGTGATCAAACCTGGAAGATGGAATCAGCATGGACCAGGGACCTCTGTGTTCTTCCAATTCACAAATAATGTGAACATCGGTGACTTAGATGATATTCCTACTACGAATTACAAAATCTATTCTATGTCAGTGAGACTCGCGAATAGACTAGATCCATGATGATCCATGGATATCCACGGATATCCATGGCACGTCACAAGAAACCTGTATATATGGCCGGGCTTTAGTGGTGCCGATTGCCATCGGAAACTTAGTGAAACTTAGTCTGTTGATGTCTGTTGGACTGAAGAGTCCACTTAGTCGAATTGCCTCGTGGCTTGGTGTGTTGCTTCTGGATACAACGCCAAAACCAATCGAAATGATATCATAAGTCCGATGCATTCCCTCGAACTCGTTCGTGTCATGAAAAGCCAGATCGACTGATTGGGTGATGAGATGATCCACATGGCCTGCACATGCCTACGCCACAAAACCCTACAGTACAGCAGTACGGTTTGAAATGGGTCGAAGGATGGTCAATCTCCCAGACCACCACATCTGGTTAAAAAAAAAAACAAACATCACATGCATGTGATGTGTTGAACAGTTTGGATTTGAACCATGATGAACCATGTAGTTGTCAGCGCATCCGAGATTGGACATGAAAAACAGTCCTGTGCAGAAAGACAGTTCTCAGAACTTTTGGTCACTTCCGCTGCAGTTTGGACCCATGTGACTTACGGACCTGAGCGAAGACACGGACCCATGTGACGGACCCTGTGTGACCGATCTGTGTTCTATCTATCGCACATGAAGCATCCGACTGAGTCACCCACAAACACGACACTAAACATGACCCATCAGTGATCCAGAGGTCTTCATACTGGTCTTCAGAAATTGACATAGTCATTTTTTGTCGAACAACCTATTGTTTCGGTCTGAACCCCAAAGAACCATTTTACGGATTTTTACACTGCACCACCACGTCTTCTTTTAATCGTCTTTAAAGGCTAGGGCCAGGGAACTGACAGTTTTTCACGCCTCCCTCTCCCTCCGCCCTCCCTTTCTTTCTCTCTCTCTCTCTCTCTCGCGGCCTTCGCCCACGAATTCCTTCAGGCCTCATTCGTTGAGGTGCCAAGGGTCTGCCAAAGTGAAACAACATGTCCCTTTTAAGGCTAGATTTGTGAGGATTCGTGAGGCTGGGAAACCTTGTCCCGTAGAGACGAAACAGCAGCATTTGTCGGAAGAACCATTTCGTTATTTTTGTTCCGCCAAATCTTCAGTCGCCTTGGTTAGAATGGTGTGCGGCTGGGGTCCCACCATCATGCAATCACGGCTTAAAAACTAGACGACCGGGTTCCAGCAATGCATCAAGAGTTACGAGTTACTATGCAGTGCATTGAGTAATCTGAGTAGTGATTAGTGTTTTAATGTTTGTTGTTTTTTTACTTATTTATAGAGCTACTATGAGCTACACAGTAAGTTATTGTTCATTAAACCGTAGGTCAAACTCCGGAAATGAGTCTCCTAAGTCAGCAACAGTCGATCGTGTGCATCAGGCTTCGGTACTGGACTGGTGTCTTTGGTCGGGAGGATCATCTACAAACCATAATATGAGTTTGAGTGCTAGTTTGGGTCTGTTTGGGTGGAGTTCCGTCGCTTCATGTCTTTCGGTGTCCGAAACTGGTTCATCACTATAGTGCATCAGGCTTCGCCCTTTCTGGAACTCCCCCAAAATCCGGTGCACGCTAGGTGTATAGGGTTCATCTGGGCTGACCCAAAGAATTCACTGGTTCGACAGACCTGAGTCCTGCTTCGACCGGTCGGAGAGCCCAGGCGCCCGGAAGCACATGGTGGCGATCATCCAGGGTCATGGCCTCATGGAATGGAGAAATTTGGCCTTCCCTGTTTGGATGGTATGGATGGATTTGGCTTCCCATGGATCATAGTAGTTTAATTCATCATAGTTTCAACGTTTCATTTAGTATCTGATAGTCATCATTCGTTCGTTAAACATTCGTTGATGGACGTAGATCACCTGTAAGTTGTGGATCACGCGTCAGTTGACTGCTGATTCAGAGGAAATGCAACCAGAAAATCAACTTTATAGACTCCCAGCCTCTTCACGGAGCCGCACGTTTCAGGGTCATGAACATGGATCACTAGGGTAAGATGTGTTCATACAACCAACAAATGCTTAAGACTTGGGTTCAGAAAGGGTCATGACCACGCATGTTTACAAATTCGAATCCAGGTCTTTTGGTGGAAAAAAACTCAAGTAATTAGATGGCATTCCATCTTATCGATTCTCGCCTTCCATCTTCTCTCGCAAAAATCCCGGAACACATCCGCTGCAGTGAAAGCAAAACCATCAAACATCATGGCATTGATGCCATGCTGGATACATGGTGCCAAATAGACCCGACGACCCGACCCGACCTCGACACCTCTACCGAGTGGCCGCTTTCCTCGCCGCCTTCATCTTCGCCCCTTGGAGGCCAACGACAGCGGCCTGGACCGGACCTGGGCCTTTGGGTTTTGAGAAGCTCAGATCCACCGCGACTTGGTTGAAGCGTCTGATTCGTGAGGCGTCTGATTCGTGTGATGCGTGTCCCATCTCTGGAATCTAGCGCATGTCACTCTGAGTTGACCGGAGTCATCCTACCGCCTCAATTTATGTTTCATCCAATATGTTGGTCATTTATGGGAATTTCAATGAATTCATGCCAGTGGGATGTGCTCTTCACAGACGGGAAGCAAATTCCGCCGATGAGAGGTCTGAACAAACATCGGGCTCAATATCGATACGTTCAACTTTCAACCTTGCATTCTGGGGTGGATGTCGGAAGCGGAATTTAAAAACGGCTTTCTGTCCGGATGTAGTGCCGCAACTGATTTGTGAGGGAGACCAGCTTCAGAAAACCCTGGGTCTTGAGGACCGCAACGGATGCAAAGAATCCCCGACATAGTAGAACCGAACCAGTTTCACATGGGTCTCCAGGTATGATTGATTCTTTAGGTCTAAGTTTATCTAACATAAGTTCATCTAACTTCCGTAACCAGTGTCCTCACTTTTTACCAAGCAATCCTCTTCCGACTTCGACCTACATCGCCCACGACATCGCTTCGCCGAACACACCGCCGCCTGGGCCGCCGGACGGTTCTCGATCACTCCGCTGGTGGAGCTGAATTGACTCATCTTGCTCTGCGAGCGATCTCCGCTCTTGGAGCCGTGCCTCAGCCAGATGTCCAGTGACGTGGTGCCGACGTGGTGACGGCCGTGACCGGACGACCTGAGGACCCAAAACGGGATGGTGTCCAACGTTCTTCAGCCATGGCGGTTCCATGATCGCCCAGTTCTGGATGTTTCGTAGCACAGCCCAGGGCTGTTCCTCCTCTTCTTTACGTGAGTCTCGAACACCCAATTCCCCGAACGTCGATGGAGAAAGGTTCTTCGAGTCCGCCGACTGCGCCTCCGCAAGTTCGTGTGAGACCCTTCGCTCTGCTCGTTCGAACAAAATCCTTGGTCTTTGCAAACAACCCATCTCTGAAACTTCATATTCCAGACTCGAAAGGATCACTCCACTGGATCTCGCATGGGTCGAAGATATGACCCGGTGGAGTCCCCAACATGGACCCGGCGGAGTCACCACTGCTGGAAAACAGTTCTGAGTCCGGGTCCCATTCGACCTGAGTCCATGTTAGTTTTCGGGAGTGTATTATTTGACATCAATTCCTTTTTGGTGACTCACCATTCACCATCCATTGGATTTTTGGCTTGGATCTGAAAAAACTTCAAGCAAAAGGAGAAAAAAGGTGTTGTTTTGGAACGCGGAGACGTGCCATCTCTAACAAGAAGGACACCGCTTCACCCTAAGAGGTAGGTCACCAGCTCCCACGCACCCTGGCATCAGTGGGATGATCAGATGAGTTGGTGGTTTTTCAGCTGTGAAACAGAACCACCAGGCCGAAGTGTCGAATCGCCACACAAACCCGGAGACAGAACCACCCAAGGCCCAGGTGAGCTGCTGAGTCGGTTCTGCTTGTCGGTTCTGCTGGTTCCGAGGGTTCTGGTCAGAATCATGTGGGGAACCACAAGGGGGAACCACAAGGAGGAACCACCAGGAACCCTTCCAAGGTCGACTCATCCAACTTTCAACCCTTCCAGGTGGCCTGCTGTTGCGACCCTGGGCGGCTCCGAGGTGGTGCGGCGCAACGAAGACGAGAACGAAGACGAAGCGACGGTGTTTTGGGTCAACCAGTCATGGGGGTAGCTACTGTGGTATAGGCTCCTTGACGGTTTGCTGCAGAAAACTTTCAGACTGATTCGCCCACCAAGAAGAAAGAATTAGTGGGGACCCAATGAGGGAACTAGGGCCTATCTAGGGGTGCTGCTTCTTCTTATGGAAAAACATCTTTGGTAAATCTAGAAGGGGTGGCATTGCATTATGCCCATTTTCAGCGCAGGTCAATGAAGATTTGCGTTGCTCGCCCGACCAAATGCCCTTCTTCGGATGCTCAACGGCTGTGGAAAGGGTGGCTGAAAATGCTGAAATTCGGCAGCGCAGGACATTTCGTGTGGCAGGTGCAGAATCTATTGGACATGACTCGACCTCAAAATGTTCCTTTTCCGGTGGCGAGAGGCCCCTGAGACCAGTGGAAATACTTGATGATTGACTGACCATTACCCTTTCAGCTTCAGCTACGAAAATCTGATCGTCTCGGTGCTTGGCTCGGCTGACGCACGAGCCGAACTGATCGTCTCAAGTCGATGGGCACCGACATGGGAATCCGGATTCTCAAGCAGTTTCTGGCACACCAACTCTTTGACTCATGAGATCTGGGGGATCCCCGGTGACGCCTCCGTTTACGGCGTCACGGGGCGTGCACAGACAGACCAGTTGCAGTGCGTTTGTTGGACAGATCGAAAGGGTCTATCCGATTGATCAGTAACAGTGGACGATGATCGTTAGTAAGGCCTTCTGAAAAAACAAAATGTTTAACTGACTGTTCCGGTTAGGTTCGGACAAACCCAATCCATATTATCCATATCCAAACCTCCGTGTGTGCTCCCACTGTTTGAAAGAACTTTTGAGTGCCATCGTACCACAGTGCGACAGTGTCAAGTGGCGACAGACTCAGTGAGATGCAAAGCCGCCATGGCCTCGATCGAACGGCGGCTTCTGAACTCGCGGCATCGTTTAAAGGGTGTGAAATAGCCTAACAGGCAAACAACATCATGAACACACGAAGGGGACCACTTTCGAGTCCGATTAGGCTGCTTAGTGTTTAGCTTTCCGAGCAAATTCTGGCTCGTGTCTGCTGGTCTAACTCGTCACAAATTGTCTGCCTGCAGATCCTCCGACTGGCATTGCAACTGCTTTGCAGTCGTTCTCTCCTGGCAGGCGCGGATACCCCCACTTGGATGATCAGTTGACTACCGAGTCGCGCATGCAAGACGTTTACCCAAAGAGACAACAGGGTCTGACCATTTACCAAGAACGAGTGGCTTCACTGCGACCTATAAACTTGAGCTCGTCCAAATGATAGGAAGTACATTTTCCTTGCACACGATACAAAACAGCACAAACAGTTCCCATCGACATTTGAAAAAGTCTTAAAGAATTTATCATTTAATTCTTAATGATTCTTAATGGTAAATGTGTTCGGCAAAGACGTCAGACCGTCAGACCTTGTCATGATACGTACATGGTAATATGTCAATCCAGCCAAACATGCTGTGGACCAATCCTCCCTCCTGGCATCATTGATCTTCAACAGCCAGTAACGCATACAACTGCATAGTAAGACCATTCACAGCGTTTAACCAAACGAGAAACGTCACCAATATGATGAAAAAAACATGATTCGAGGCCTCAGGTCATCCGCATGGGTTTGGTGTCTCCGTCCCGAACTGCTTTGCAAGGCAAGTTCAACATCCACGCACTCGAAAGTGATCTCCACTCATGCAATCTCTTTGCGCATCGGTCCCAGGGGAGGCCTCCAGGATCGGGAAGCAGCCCGACATGCCTGGCGGAGGGGAAGGTGTGGAGGATTGAGGAGGTGTGGAGGTGTTGGAAAACACACACAGCTGGCAAGGCCGACCCAGTCTGCTTCCTCTAGTCGCTCGGTTAAGACTCTCGGGTTTCAAACCACCACTGCAGCGCACCCAAATGGTTGCGACAGGCTTTACGTTGGAGCCTTCATTCTGGGAGTTGTATATATATATATATATATTATAGATGGATTTAGCAATATTATCTAAAGAGGTCCCACACTGAGCTTCTTACTTGGAGCTACTCTGCAACGAAGCCCTAGTCAGGCTACAAAACAGCATGAGGCATACTCAGAAGGATAACAAATATGCCTTATGCCTTGTTTGACTCCCTTCTCAAGCTACCTGGGCCAAGCCGAGTCACTTCCCTTTCAACTCATTTCAATTCAAGGATGGCCGTGGGTCAAAGCCGTTGAACCCTGGTTGACCACAGAACATGAACATGAACAGAGCTATATATCTGGGAGATCAACCGATTTCAGGCTCCTGGGAGATCAACCCACGGCCGGATGGGGATGTGACACGCTGACGATGGGCCCAGGGCTCCGGGTCTTCTCGGTCTCTTCGGAACGACGAAGTCGATGCATTCCGCTGGAACGGTGCTCCGGGTGCTTGGTCAGATCGGAGTGGGTCAGATCGGGCACCCAAGGGATCCCAACCGGAGACCTACGAGACGTGTCACCGGACTGACGAGGAGGTTCGAAGCGAAAATCCGGACGACGAGGTTCCCGCTGGATCCGGCCTGACAAGGCTTTTGGGAGCTTCTTGGGCGTGTTCGAGCTCCGCTCCTCTAGGACCTTCTCGATCTTCTCCACCGACTGCTCCCAAGCATGAGCGTTCTCGCCCTTCTCACCTGGAAGAGTCCAAATTCTTGACTTGCTCTACTGAGGATTGGCAGTATTCATGTTCATGTTTAAGTCATGTTTGGACTCGGCAATTACATGTCTCCCGAAACTGAAACGAATCCAACGCTGTGCCCCATCCTCCCCGCAAAAGCTATGCTCCAGATCTCCAGGGCATGCTCCGGCTTGAGCCACCAACCATGAATGGAATTGCTTCGTAAACCACGTACTTTCTTTATCAAGTTCGGTGAAAACACCCTGCCCACCAACATGTTTCTACATGATTCTACAGGCAACCCACGGAGAGATGTAGCAACCCACGGAGAGTGGATCAAATGCTCTGAAGTCTGTCCAGGTGGCGGAAACGAGAAGCACACGACCGACTGGCTGCCAGTCGTGTTGTTCCCCAAGTCAGGAGATCAGTTGACGAGTCTATAGAGAGTGTAATGCCTTCGGACAGATCCAAAGGATGGGACCTTTCCATCAAGAGAGTAGATTCGAGTAGATATTGATATGAATGCATCATTTCGTCTACTAAATCTGCGCCCGCCCTTCCACCGCGAATCGGGACCCACCGACTTGTCACAGAAGCGGCCCTCTCGCCCCGACGGTCGGAGCTCAGGCCTTGACTAAGACTGTGAGCACTGTCGACGCTGCCAGCGCGGCTCTTCCAGCCGCCACCTCGACAGAGATTCACACGGGTGCCGTGGAGTCGAGGAACAGTTATGGATTTGATCATGGATTGATTGGTATATCACATTTGGGGTCCATGTGGACTTTGAAGTTTGGAGAAGTCTTAAGTCCTAAGTTCCTGAGGTAAACTTCCAGTTCGAGATGCTTGGGAGATAAGAACATCGTCCTCGCCGGTGAGAGTCGCTGCTACGTAGGTTGGCATGGCACAGTGGAAGTGTCCGAATCCAACTGCCCCAGTCTCTCGCCAATTGACTTCAGTCAGGTGAGAAGGCTCTGAATCTGGTTCTGCAGGTGTCCCCTAGGATCAGAATGTAGACGGCCAGCAGCTGGCGGTTGGACATGATTCGTCCACAAATAAAGATGTTCATCTTTCATCGTTCTCCACAATTGCTTGGTCAGAACTTGCTTTTGTATGCTTTTGTCCCAAACAATTATCTATACTCCAACCTCTTCCGCTTAGTCATATCCAGCAACCCCTTCCAGCAACGAAACAGGGTCGGGAGCTGAGTCAGAATCCACTTGCTAGTTCGTTACCCCAACAGAGGTGATTCTGAGAGGCAAGTTCTCCAAGGGGCGCCTTCCAAATGTGAAGCATGCCTTAGCCATTCAACTTGAACCTTTTTGATGACTCCAATGTGCAGGCCACTTCCATGCCTTTCACTTTCAGTCTTTCAGTCGTTCAGAATCGACTCATCGCCAACAAAAACCACGCGGCGATTCGATCTGTTCACTCTCGCCTCCATCGCCCATCCATCGTGGCAGGGGAATCTTCTCCTGCAGTGGCCCTGCCAGTGAGCTTGGCGCAAGCCCTGTTAATGTCTGGAAAGGTGAGTGCTGCCGCTGCATCGGGGAGATCTGCCGGCGCATCGCTGGCACCTGGCACCACTGGCAGGGAAGGAGACCCCACCTGCCGCCCAAAGACTTCCCGAACTCACCCAGCTTGGCAGGGATCCCCAACGTCCAGACCGCTCAGGGGTGGAGGAAGGCCGGATGAAAGGAGACGACCTCACGGACCCACCGATGGCTACATACGACCCAACGACCATGGAGGTGACCTGCCCTAAGAATCATTCGACCCTCCTTATGGAGGGTTTTGACCCTGCATAGCAGGGGTTTGGGATCCTCAACACCTTCACCGAACTGATGGTCCTTGATTAAACCAGGTTCTTAGGGTTGGCCAGTTCTGCAACTTTTGGGATCCGTTGCCGTGCCTCAGCCGAGTGCGACTTCAACCGTTGCTGCACTTCGTAGGCAATGAAGGGCCGCAACCTTGGGAGGAGCGTGGTGTTTGCGGACTGGGGCAACCTGAAGGTTTTTGGACAGTTTCACCTGAAACAGAGCTGTGCCACCACATTTTTGGGGGCGGGAAGCATGTTCCCGGAGGAAAGCACCCTTGTATCTATGACGTTTTTGGGATTTTTTTGGGACACTGCAGGTGTTGCAAAGGTGCAACGCTTCCTGGTCGTTTTTCGAATCAATCTAGATGATCGAATTCCGTTTGGGTTCCATGCAGGTCTCACTTCCCCCCACCGGCCGGTGTCGTTCTCGCGCGACGAAGCCGGTCAAACCGATGAAATTCGTCTTCTTCGCGTCATCACACGACCAGGTGGGCTGGACATCGATGGACCGGAAACGTTGGAACGAACTCCCGCCAACGACTCCCTGTTGAGTGGAGAAGAGATACCTTCGCTGAGCTCTTTTCCATTCTTTTCATATGCTCTCATGCCCGCAACCTCGCAGCCCGCAACCTCGCAGCTGCTCCGCATCGGTAGAAAAACGGCTGATGCCTGCTTTGATCGCCCAAGTCGCCTTTGCAAGATCGAAAGCACCTGCCAGTGCGAGCAGGTCAGATGAACATGCTCGGGGCAGGGCGGAGGTGGTGGTGCTTGGAGACAATTGGAAGGTGCAGATTTGCCATCCATATCATCCATTCTCCAACTGAGATCTATATATAGAAACCACATCGCATGGAATTTCAGAAGCCGATGATTCTATAAGTCCTTCTTCTTTACTGCATTATATCATGTTTATCGTATGTCTTCCACCAAGACAGCCACATCATCACAAACAAAAACCACGAGACTTCCAGAAGCCGAAATGTGGATTTGAGATATTGAGCTTGATTTCGTGTCCACAAGGCTTGAGATGCACAGTTTGAGATCTTCGGACAGCCAGTGGTCCATGGACCAATCCGTCAACTTCTGCCCACGCCGGACCGCGCGAGGTCCGAACCGGGTCTTGCGACCGGGGATGAGGTCCGGGGATGAGCCCGCATCCGTCGACCCGGTTTTACAACGGTTTATATAGCAGAGTATACCGCCTGAGTGGCTCAGGAAGCAGCTTTTAACCCACCACAAGCTATAAAAGCATCGCCACGTCCGCCACGTCCCTCCACCGCGGTCGCTGTGTTACACGGAGTGGTCTGGATCACTCAGCAGATTGTGTAAGAAGAACACAGGGACTTGTGCTGCGAGTCATTGTGTTCCAGTAACAAGTGCAAGTGCATTACTGCTATTGCCAGTACAGTAACAATAAGTGCATCGATACCAATGTCGCCACTGCCCTGCAGGTTCTGCAGGGCCCTGCCCAGATGACTGCCCAAAACGATCAACGGGCGAAATGGAATCGGAAAGAACGGACTCAAAAGGGCCTAAAGGCAAGGATCATTCGCCTGTGGCCATCTCCTTGCAGGAAATGGTCCCGATCACTCCAAGATACTCTCCAAGATCCTTCATGGAGAATGTACAACATCTTCTTTGACTTGGACTGGTCTTTCTATTTTGGCAAGGGAGTCTTCAATACCTACCCGTGAATGCAGAAATTCCACGCAATTAATACCCAGTATAGATGCACCTAGCAAGTCCAGGACACAGGTGACACCTCGGTTCGAGTGCAAAAAAAAGGACCCGAGACTCGATCATTGAGGCTTATGAGTCTATGAGGTTTTCTCCAGGACAATTTTTCTGCGAATCCATGATGGCTTTGGCTTTGGCGAATTGGGTTCTGCCATCCATGAACGAAGCGAGGTTCTTTCGGTTCATTGACGATGTTCCGCCAAGTGGATGGAATTTGGGCGCTCCTTTCAAGATGTTCAAGGGTACACAATGGAAAGATCACAAGTATAGTGCATGGGCCATGGGGGGAAAGGCAGCCCAATGGAACATCATGAAAAATTGAAACAAAGGTCAGAACGCTGCACCAAGAAATAACCGCGAACGACGGGCCAAACACGTCAGTCTCTACTCGTGAGATGCGAAGATGTGCTGAGGATCAAGACATTAGTTCAGAGATGTTTTGGTGCTCCTTTCGACGCAAATGGCATGAACATGCTAGACAGCCTGTCAGTCGAACATGCACTGGGAAAAAGGGTTGGTCTCCATCTCCGCATCGCTCGGCGTTGCGGCGCCGTTCTGGGCCACATGGTTCGCGGCATGTTCACGTTCACCGCAAGCAGAGATAGAAACTTTGCTGGCAAAGAACGGGTCCGACCACTATTGTAGAAAAGAGGAGAACGGTTGAGGAACCTTGAAACGACTCAAGTGCGAAAGACGTGTAATTCATTACATGAGTTGGTAATGTCAATCTATGTCAATCTCCTTAGACTTCATGTATAATAAGCAACCAAACGAGTGTTTCCAAAAGAAGTAAAATCTGGATATGCGTACCTCTGATGATTGGGAGGCACGCAATCAAGCGCAAAAGTCTGATGCAACAAGCCTCTTGCTTTAAATTGCTCGTTTTTTAGAGGTGCGCAATGTCCGACATGTCTCTCCATCTCGAGTTGCCACCCAGATCGCTTCCTACCTGCCCTGCCCGCATCGACCAGCCGCGAAGCGCGAAGCGCCGGCGGCGCCTGCTCGATCATCGCGTCGGCGATCGCCGACGACAGCTCGCGCTCATCGAGCAAAGAATCTCAGCATCAGGCAGGTCTTGACATGTCTTGACCATTCTGGCGACGAAAAGGATCCAATCGTGTCCCTCCAGTACGCCGCGCTGATGAACAGGACCTGGTATACCGGTCCCTTCAGTGATTCTCAGGACCTGGTAGATGAAGAATGGGTCTTTTTTGGGGGGTGGTCAGGTGGTCCTCAACCTCCTGACCTTCTGGGCAAGGTTTGCCGAGTGGCGTGGCGCATCCATGGGCGCTGCTGGCTCATCTGGCGCGGTGACCGTGTGTGGGTCACGTTCGCCGGACCCGGTCGACCGGGTCCATCTTGACCGATCAGTTGGGGTTGAAGAGTGGTCTATGTATGTCTATGTACATAGGTAAGTAGCTGGTCATACATATCCATACATGAAGTGTCTCAGGGAGGCAAGTAGCTTGTTCACCGCCACAGACAGTGTCGCCACAGACCGCAGTGTCGCTTGAATACAAGGCACAGGTGCTAGCCCGACTCCCACGACGCACCCGGCAGCCCTTTCAGCTCCTATCCGAACACCGCAGTCCATTTCCATGCTGAGGGAACAACATGAATCATTTGGAAATGATCCGAAGGCCATTTTTGGAGCAAGGCCTCTCCCAAAAACCAAAGACAACGAAGGCATGCCTAGAGCAACGCCCTTGGGATGCATGCTCACTTTTCTCTCGTTGGAGTGGACCGTGACCAGCGCCAGGACGCGTTGCTAAGGGAAACATCCAGCGTTGCGGTCGTGGACTAGCAGGAATGTGAAGCTATCAATGTTTGAAGATTTGGTATTGACCTACAGTTCAATGAGTTCTAGGTCCTCGGAGTCCTTTACCACTTCCCCTCAGCCCAGCGCTCCAAAGGTTGGGCTCTCAGGAATGCTGCCCCACCAAGAAAGGAACTCTTCATTTGCCTTAGCTCTCACCCTTCAACATTCTTACTGCGGCGTCACTCTTCATCTTGGCACCCCTCACTCTTCACCCCCGCGACCGAGACCTCGCGCCCGAGACCCTGCGGTATGGGGCCTAGAACACCCGGAGGGCTTACGGCCATAGGTTCCAGCCGACGCCGAGACGGATGTGGTGGTCTTAAGGCCTGATCCTCTCCTCGTCCGGTGTTAGAATGAAGGGTTGCACCCAACACCGTGCTCTGCATATGATTCACTGGAGTCTAGTTTGCACAACTTGTGGCATGTGGAGGTCTCCCAATTGCCTGGTGACTCTAGCGGGTGATGTAGCTAGAACCTCCGATTGCTTCGTGGTGTGCAGAAACGCCCATGCCCATGCTCCTCTTTCGGAGGGCTTGCTTCAAGCAGCGACTTTGCTCGAATCCAGACAGCTGGCGGGGGTCATGGATTTGAAGAGGGCCATGCATGTGAAGGTGTGACCCCCTTCTTCGCGATGTTACGTGGCTTCGTTGCACGCACCTTTGCAGTGGTTTCAGAGTTGAGTAGATGGCACAATGCAATAAGAATCAATAAGATATGTGATATGTGCATCAAAGCTGTGTGTGTGTGGCAGACATGGCAGACAGTGTCCCAGTCCCAGTTTTGGGGTTCATCAAAAGTTGGAGGTGATGTTCATGTTGTTCCAGTTGGTGCCTAGCATGGTCAAGACTGAGAAAGTTTGTTCAAGTTTTTTCACCTGGCGTTGATGCATACTTACAAAATACCCTACAGTTCACCAAAAGGTCACGGTTCCAGCATGGTTTCTTCGAAACAACCTCTCTGTTTCTCCTGTTGCTCTGAAGTGATCCCGTCAAAGGCTGAGATGCAACTTAGTTGTTACAAGTCTTCAAATCCATCAAGCCATTCGTTCAAGAGCCTTGAAAAACTCCTAACTCTCCCAAAATCACCAACAAACACCAACTGGCTTGTATTGAGGTGTTTGAAGAGAGATACGCTGTTTTGAAACCGGCCGGCACGATCCCGAGCTGTGACCAAAACTGCTAGAGGCCCATGGTTCAGCAGAAAGGGTATTGTACGAGATCTTGTCTCCATCTTCTGGTTCCATTTGAAGCATGTGACGGAAACATGATACTCCATCTTTCCCAATCATTAGCTGCACGGCTCCTCATCCTTCAGCTCCTCTCTCATGTCTACCGTAAAGGTCTGTTCCGAGACCTCAAAGCGAGGTCACCACAGAGAGGATCAGTATATGTATGTATAGTATGTATTAGGCTATTATATATATATATATATATCTTATATATATATATTAGAGAGATATCAAGTTTTGCGTGCGTGTGTTCATGTATAGTAGCCCTACCTTTGTTTCCGGATGATGTAGTTATCTTATCTTATCTTGTTGTCAAATGGTACTTTGTTTCTATCAAATCCGGAGAAGCAGCGTGGGGATGCGCGTCGTAAATATCGTTTTGTGTGCCTGGAATTGTTGTAGCCTGGAGACGTTGTGGAGCGGCTGTGGACATAAATCACACGTTCTCCCATGATCCCCCATGCACGAATACACTGGTCCTGCAACACTTAGCTTCCACCAAACATCTGGCACCTTCCAAACCTCCAATGGATTCTGCTTTTCTCGAAATCCTTGCTCCCAAGAAATTCCATGGCCAGAATCCTTTTTGCCCCTCTGGCATCACCCTTGGCCCACAGGGACCCCTTGTTTCCACCTTCTCTCCGTGCCCACCGACACAACCGGGGCGACCGACAAACTCGATGTCCGAGTCAATCTCTTCGACCTGGATCGCCCGGTTGGGGCATGACAGGTGAGATGCAGGTGATGCTCCACTGCTAGCTGCTAGGCGATCCACTCAAACAGGTGGCCAGTCAATGATTTGTTGAAAGTAACACCCCTGCGAGCCTCTACCTGTCGAAGGGGTACCTCAATTGGTTGGGGCATCTCAGTGGCATCTCCCATTTCCTTGGACAAACGATATAATATATGTATATATATATATATTATACTATATAGAAACTTATAGAAATAAATTCCATCCAAAGCCACGCCTGCTTCACTTCAGCAACCTGCTTGGCCGACTCCGGCTTGCTCAGCTCCGGTTTTCTCGGTGTGTTGTTCTCCTGGTGGCAAGCCAGCCATCGGGTCGACTGCACACTTGGAAGCTTTGAAGGAAGGATGATGTCCAGATTTGGTCAAATGTTTGAGGATTGAATCATGGCACCAAATGGGACCAAATGTCTCTCAGGTGCATTCTCGTATGTCTTTTGTCCAACAGCTGACACGCTGACAGATCCATGCAGGCTAAATCAGCTACGTATATGTTGTGGTGGGAAGTCTGCACAGTTCTTGAATTTGCACCACTTTCGGAGACATTCAGGCTGAACGATTATCTTGAACAACGCCGAAGATGAGCATACAGTGGCATACCAAAGACTCATCTTGGCCGCTGAAACATCTGCCCAAAACCGCTCAGACCGAGGGGGGCAGGACTGTGCCCCCCCCCCCCAAGTTCGCTTCCTACTTGGGCGTCCGAATCCGAGGTCGTTGGGCCCCAGGAAGTCGTGAAGAGCTCCCAGTTTGCAGCTTATAGGCGCTTGATGCGGTCGATGGGTCCATTCTGCGGCACATCTTCAGTGTCCAACAAGCCATCGAAACCGGGTGATGTTGGCCGTCGAGATCCGTCGAAGAACCGGGCCAAAACGAACGTGTCTCTCGGTAATGCTCCAAATGGATGATTGATAAAGGTGACTGGTTTGTACCCCTTGTATCCCCTTAGTGATTTCACTCAATTTGACCCAACCAAGAAATCGCCCCGCTCCAGAAGCAGGAACCCGGACGGTCCCACGATGCTGGCTGTTCTACCCAACACGGTGTGTATTCCTCAGGGTCTGTGAGGTCATGCAAGTATGTATACGTGCCTCAGGGTGGAATACGACATCCCCACCATTGGCCGCCTGCAGAAGCTGAAGCACCACGCGGTCAGCCCGAGTTTCAGATGCAGAACCCGTTTTTTCAAAAAGCGAGAAAAATGCTAAGACCCGGTAGCCATGGATCCTTCTGTAAGTGGTTTCTTGGATGCACTGCAGGGTGTTCTAGGTTCTAGGGCATTCCGCTTTGATGGGTTTCCTCAAATCTCCAGGGAAAACATATCAGCCTACGACAAGGGTCATCCTCCGTGCAGTGGGATTTAGCTTCTGGCAGTTGGCAGCGGAATTTCCTTACTATGGAGAGATTGACAAGCTGAGATCATCACCTTGGGAGGATTAAAAAAAAACCATCCTCGTGAAGCCAGGTGACGAAAGCTGGCAGGGCCAGGTGAACAAGGCCAAGAGGGAAGGGAAACGACTTCCAGCCGTAAGCCCAACTTGCCTGGACTGTTTTTCGCGGACAGCTGGCTGGAAGCCATGCGACCAACTCCTGCTAGCTGATGCGAGCCTTCGTGATACACTCCCTGACAATCGTGGAAGTGTTCCCAGTTCGGCCCCTCAAAAAACCACGTGAAAGATCGTGGAAATCCTCTACTTCTAGGGCTCCCTGGTCAGCTTCCATGATTGTTGGGAGGGTATACCGTTCCAGCGGATTCTCCGGAAAGACCGTCCACTTCTTCGCTGGGCCGGGCCTGCTTCTCTGGCGCCTTCTTTGCTCCAGTCTGCGCGTGGTTGAAAGACCGGACCGAGACCGCGGTCAGCGAGCAACCAGAAGCAGGACTCCAGGATACTCCAGGGTGTTTGGGATTCAAATTTTGTGCAGCCCCAAAATGATGGTTTCATGACAGCTGTTTGCCGTCCGGGCTTACACAGCAAGCCTCACAGAGGATTTAAGAGGCTTTAGCAGCTGACCCGGAAAATTCTCTTGGCTTGAGAATCGCCAGTCAAACACTACAAGCTGTCTTGTCTTGGACTCGATGCAGCGACACGTGAGACATCTGGGCTCAGAGAACATGGAGATCGTTTTGAAACCATGGCTATCTGATCTGTACCTGAAAAACCCCTCAATGACTAGAGACATTGGAAGAGGAAGAAACGATCATCACAACCAATCTCATCCATCACAAGGAGCACAGCTCAGCACGGTGCGGATCTGCAGCTGTCATATCATTTCCAACACATAATGGCATATATAAGAACTTGTGCGCGAGCGACTTTCATATAATTCCCCCCTGTCCACCCGTGCCAGAACTTACTGGAGAAGGTACCTGCTTTTTGCAAACACATGATCGTTGGTTGTGGAAGATGCAATGTGTTGATGCAATGTGTTTGCAATGATTTGTCGAACATCGATGTGCCCAGATTTGGCGAACAGCCGCTCATGACGGCAAAAACATGGGAGACCCCAATGTCTCCATAACACTCGACCTGCGATGTGTGCTTTCCATCTTCAAAATCTTGTACAAGAATCCCGGAGTCCAAAACGGACCGTCAGGATCCCTCCGGGCCAGCCCTAAGATGCCCTTGGCCCACAGCATTTTGTTTCCGCACAACTCCGTGACCAACACGACACACCAGGGCGACCGACAAACTCGATGTCCGAGTCAATCTCTTCAACCTGGAAGGCCCGGTTGGGGCATGCATTGGGGCATGACAGGTGAGATGCAGGTGATGCTCCACTGCTAGCTGCTAGGCGATCCGCCAGCGATGAAAGTAACGACCCGTGCTTCGCCCCTCAACCGGATCTTGCACGGTGCGACTGGTGCGTCGTTCTAGGGTGTTGGAGGATCGTCTAAACGGTGACTCTCGGTGTCGCAAAGCAGGGAGTACCAAAAACAGGTGCTGGGTCTGCTTGGGTTGGGTTCGGGAATTCCACACCAACGAACTGCACAAACCATCGGATCGGATAACCACATAAGCCGTGATTCGGAATGAAGGTGCAACAATCCTGGACTGGATCAACCATCAAGCAATTCATTAAACATATCAGGTTTTTGGAAGTACCACTGTAGAACAGCAGCAGTCTTTTGTTCCCGAAACATTTGCCAACACCGCCACCCGGCGCTATCTCAAGTTCGTGAAGCTTTGCAACAAACACGCTGTTTTCTCACCTTGGCCCCTTCCGCAAAGCAAAACATGATTGGTCCCAGTGGATCCAGTTTTTCTGTCCGCTAGGACTAGTACAGTGCATCGGCAGTGGTTGCAACAGCCGATCAGGCTCCGAACGAGAGCCCCTGGTTCCTGCTTTGGTCAAAACCCCTCAGGTTCCGTTCTCCGATGTTCCATGGTTTCGTTCCAATTTTCAGCAAATACCATGATCCCTTTTTCTATATCCTCCCTTTTGCCACTTCGCGGGTCAAATTCAGACAGGTGAAGAAGTTGATATTGATCATCACCATTGTCGCTGGCCAA